GTCGTGTCAGTACGCTGACACCAAGCTATCTGTTGGTATCAGCATATCGCATAGGCGACCCTTCGGGTGAGATGGAGGTCGGGGGAGGGGATGACCTCTTCTGTGAGTTGCATTGGACCCATAATTCAGCTCACAAGTGGACAAATGTCGGGACATTATTTTGGATCTCCAAGCGTACATGTGTAAACAGATTTGCAATATTTTGATGGGTCTCCATTCCTCTGCCTGGCTCGCTCCGTGTATGTACTTTTCGATGTAAACATGTTGTGTGTGCATACATATATATATATATATGTGTGTGTAGATGCCGTTCGCTTTTCAAGTCGCAGTTACAAATACATACATACACATAGATCGGAGGTTGGTGGCTTAGACCGAAAATGAAACGTGAGGTGCTCCAACCAGGACATCGTTTCGGCTCGCTTCGTGCGCGACGCGCGCGCGGCCGAGGCGAGGCTCGGTCGTGCGAGCTCGTCCACCAGCCGGGGCCAAGTCGGTCAAAACAGGGGCGCCACGATCCCGGTCCCGATTGCTGTCGCGATGGTTGTCCCGATGGTTGTCGCGATTGGTGTGCCAGTTCATCATCGTAAAAGCAGGTGCTCTGCGAGGCCATTGTACCAAACCATTTGCATTCTCTGAAGGGGAAAACATTTTCTGCGAGGCGATACCCGCAATCTCTGTGCGCTGTGAGGCCATAGTACCCCCCCCTCCGCGGGGCGCCACAAACGAACAAGCATGTGCCCTGCTGGGCGAAGCGCATCGTTTTGAAATGCCCTTTTGCGGGACATGAAAGAGAAAAGCGCGACCTGCGGGTCAAATAACAGGATACATGAGCAATGGAACAGCACTGCAACACCAGCAAAACCTACGTTCAAAACAATGAACGACATTGCACAAATCAGCAAACACCGATGGTACACCAATGGCAACGAATAAAGCAGCTACGAATCCGTTATATGCCCTTGGGAAAAGAAAGGATCCCACAATGAAGATTGCTTTCTGACGCGTTCTTGGATGATAGGTTGTTGTCCCGATGGTTATTCCGACGGTTGTCCCTCTGGTGGTGTCGATGGTTACCCCAGTAGGTAGATAAAGAGTGAGGTCGACAGATAGATTGATAGTGATATCGGCAGATGATTGGTGAGAGCGGCGTAGATTGGTCGATAGAGACGGCTGTCTCGATGAATGACTTGGTGGTTGTCTTGATAATTGTCTCAATGGTTACCCCGATGGTTGCCCCGATGGTTGTCCCGATGATTGTGCCGACGGGCATCCCGACGGGTGTCCCGATGGTTGTCCCGATGGTTCGTCCAGGCCAGAAGAAGACGAGAAACAACAAACAATGCCCTGCGAGGCGAATTTGCAATCGTTGCGCCCTACGGTGCCGTAATACAAAATTGGCCTCCGCCCCCCTCTTTTGCGGGGCAAAACAATACAACACAAATGTGATCTGCTGAAAAAGCGAATGTCCAACCAAATCGCCCTGCTTGACATAACCCTCGAATCAGACTTCCCAAACAAAAAGCGCCCGCCCGGCGACGCATCCATAAGTAAACGAAACAGAATGGAGCACACATGCAACATCAACACACTTTGTCAAAACAAGAAGTTAAGCATACTCAGACACAACACTAGCCGATGACAACAACACTTGAACCAATGAGCAACTATGAACACCTCGCAGACCCTATGTAAAAGGAAGTCTTCCATGTGACTGCTGTTCCCTGATGCATCCTCAGATGATACATGGTTACCCGATCCTCACATGATAAATGATTATTGTTCCCTGACGCATCCTCACGGCGACTGTCCCAGATGGATTCAGAGTGGAATCGGTGGATGGAGAGTGAGACAGATATGTGCTGCTCGCTAGAAACAGTTGTCTGGATGGTTGCCTCAATGGGTGTCCCGACGGTTGGTCCATGGTTGTCCCGATGGTGGTCACGATGACTGTTCCGATAGTTGTTCCGCTGATTGTCCTGTTTGTTGTCCTGATGTCGATGGTTGTCCCGATTGTGGTCCCGATGATTGTCCCGATGGTTGTCCCGATGGTTGCCCTGATGGTTGTCCCGATTGTGCTTCCGATGGTTGTCCCGGTGGTTGTTCCAATGGTTGTCCCGATGGTTGTTTCGATGGTTGTCCCGGTAGTTGTCCGTTGTCCCGATGGTTGTCCCGCTGGTTGTTTTGTTGGTTGTTCCGCTGGTTGCCCCGATGAAAATTCAATGGTTTTCTCGATGTCTGCTCTGATGGTTATAGCTCAGGACGAGCTAAAGTCGAGGCCCAAAGGGTGAGGAGGGTGACGAGGAAAGGGGATCATGTTGGGCTTGTGCTGCCACAGCCACGGCCGTCTCCAGAAATGAGATCTTGGAGCAGGGCTTCCATGACTACCCCCGTTCTGGACCGTGGGCGTGTTTTCTGCTTCCTTGGTCGGTGGGTACCTCGGCGTTGTGGCGCGCTCTAGGTGCCTTGCATCCTTATGCTGTGTACTCCATCCCTCCAGCTGGCTGGCTTTGGCTGTGCGTACAAGTCGACGGGCGCTCGCTGTTGGCAGTGATGACCGGCCTGCTCCTGTGGTCGGATGGCGCATCTCCCATATGACGCGTCAGTCGGCCCTTCGGTGGTTTTCGCTTCGGCCTCGGGACAGAGCTACATGCACAAAGTCGGTTCTCCCACCTGGACCGGGCGCGCAGGGTACACTGACGACAAAATACGAAAGAAGGCCGAGTCGCGAGCAGGTGGCCCAGCATTTTTGCTTTTTAGATGGCTACCTGGCCTGTGCCTACTGCGAGCCCCTCGGTTTAAATAGCCACAGAACTTCGACGCCCAGGCCGCATGCCTGGTTGAAGCTGTTGGTCTCGGGGATCGCAGGGCTTGGTCGCGCTGTGGCCCTTTGCCGCCCTGCTCTGAGCTTGAAGGGGCTCCGAATCAGCAAAACCCCCTCACGCTATGAGAATGTGCTTTGGCTCGCCGTGGTGCTGTCTCTGGGCCGGTGTGAGCCGTCTCTTGAGAGTCTTGCGAAGCAAGCCACGGTGCGCAGGCCACTTTTTTGATTGCAGTCTTCGCCTCTCGACAGAGCAGCGCCAGGGCGCGCTGCATTTCTTGCTCGATGGTCTCGCCAAGGAGCCTCTTGCACTCTTCGGCAAGAGGGACCTGCCAGGAGGCTCGATGCAGCCGGTAGGATGCTCGTGCTGCGTGAGCCGTGGAAAGCTGGGCAGAAGTGCTCTTCGCCCGCGCAGAAACCTAGGCCCCCCCTTTGGCTCCATCATGGTCCCCGTGAGCCTGCTTCGGGGCCCGAGGGGGCCCCGAACCCCGAAACAGGCAGAGCACCGCACACGGAGAGCATGCTGCTTGGTGCCTCGCTGTGGTGCCGCCTCGAGGGCAGCGTGTGCCGCCCGGTGCGAGTCCGGGAGCGCCGTCCGGGGCTGGCCAGAGAGGCGTCAGCAGGCTGGCCAGCTGCCGCGCGCGTTGCGGGCAGGACGAGCTGAGCTCGAGGCCCAACGGGTGAGGAGGGTGACGAGGGAAGGGGATCCCAGAGGAGGGAACGTTACCGATACCACTACCCTTCCTTGGTTTGCCCCTTCTGGGTCCTCCTGGGAGTCTATCGTCGCCACCGCTGGGTTCGCCTCGAAATCCTGGTCAGATCGCATCCCTGGAGAGGTCTGGGGATTTGCGATGATTATCGGTAGCTTTGGTTTCCCCAGGACCATGCTGGACGACCTTGTGCTGTCATAGCCACGACCGTCCCCAGCGATGATCCCTTGAAGCAGGGTTTCCTTGCATCCATCGTTTCTTGGCACCGTTGGCGTGGGTTCTCCTTCCCTGGCCCGTGGGCACCTCGGCCCTGCACCCTTACCCTTAGGTTCCATCCTGATCCTGGCCCCTCGCCCCAGGAACGCGTCAGTCGGCCTCCAGTGTTTCTCGCTGCGGTCTCGAGACAGGCTGCATAATCAAAGTCGGTTTTCCCATATGGACTCGGCACACTGACGTCGACACACCGAGGCCGGAAATAACACATTGTGGCCCAGCAGTTTGCACCTCTGGATGCCATCCTGGCCGGTGTCTGCTTGTAATTTGAGCTCTTCGGGCCCGGCTGACATCGCACTCGGGTCGTTGGCTTCGGCGGAAAGGAGGCATCGGAGGCGGAACGGGGGCCCACGATTCGATCTGGCCGATGTGCACAAGCTTATTTGTCATTGGTGTCATTGATACTGGTTGATCGGGCGGCCAAGGGAAGAGAAACTTCTAATGACGAGCCAACAACACACACCCATACCCAGAGGGGGATCGGAGAGGGCTATGGGTGCGTGTTGTCGGATGGGGGTCCCCGCTCGAACGGGAGCGTTCCCCAGGGTCCGACAACCCGCACCCATACCCATAGCCAGTCCTCCTCCCAACGACCCCCCTATGGGTATGGGTACGTGTTGTCCGTTCGTCATTCTAACGCCTTACGCGCTAATTCTTGTTTCTGCTCATAGTCTCAGTGGTGCCACAGCGGGCGCTCATGTTAGCTTGGCTCCCAACTCGGCCCTGCTGTCAGCACGCTTGTCACAGAAGCTGGAGAAAGTAGCTCTCAAATGGATCGGCGCGGGGACGAGGAGGAGGCCCTTGAGATGGTCCACTTGGCCCACTGGATCGCCTGGGTACCCAAACCCCTCATTGTGCTCAGCACGTTCTGGGGAACACCTGCACACCACGCCTCAGAGCCATCCGGGACCCAGGCCCTCCTGGTGGAGGCAATGAGGTTCTCTGCTCCATCCTAGATCCTAGGGCCCAGTGTGACCTCGAGCAGGCATGGTGGTGGTACATCGGTGCTTCCTGCGGCCTGCCTTCCCTTGCCATCGTGGGCCCCTTTCGTCGAGTAAGCTCCTCCCCCCGCAGCGTCAGGAGGAGGGTGGTTCCCTCCCCTGACGTTGCGGGCGGAGTGGCGCCCAGCAGCCTGCGTAAGAAAGTTCCCTCTCATCTGCCGCCCCCCGCCCCGTTGCGCCCCGGACGGCCCGCAGATGACTCGGCGGAGCCAGTGCCCGCTGCAGTGCTTTTTCCAGGCCCGCGCGGCATCGCGCGCGGGTGGCGCGGGGGTCGTCTCCATCCGCCATCCCCCATCCTCCGAGGGGGAGGGTCCCTCCCTCCCTCCTCCTTCTCATCCTCCTACTCCTTCGGTCCTCCTCTTCCTCCGCCTCCATCGGCCGCTCTCCTCCTCCTCCTCTTCCTCCTCTTCCTCTTCCTCCTCCTTCTCCTCCTCCTCCTCCTCCTCTTCCTCCTCCTCCTCCTCAATCCCTTCGCCTTTTTGATAACCTCTCCCTGTCGCACCCCGAGGCCAGTTTTTAGGGCGTACCGGGCGTTTCGCTTGAGACTTCCTCACCATGTATGATTCCGAAGCTAAAGAAGTGAACAATTTCACAGATGGAGGGCGGGTCGTTTAAAACAGGTTGCTCTCGCCTTAGCGCCGCGCAATTTCGTTGAAACAGTTTTCACGATCTTCACGGATTGAGGGCGGGCCGTTTTCAAAATGCGATTCTCGCTTTAGCGCCGCGCGCATTCGTTTAATCAGATGTGCAAGAGCTTCGCGGATTGAGGGGGGGTCGTTTTCGAAATGTGGTTCTCGCTTTAGCGCCGCGCGCATTCGTCATAACAGATTGCAAGAGTTTCACGGACTCAGGGCGGTTCTTTTTCAACATGTGGGTCTCGTTCTAGCACAGCGCACATTCATTTTAAACATTTGTAAAAGTTTCACGGTTTCCCATGACCGACGTACCGGACATTATGCTTTGGAAGGCTTCAGGATTATGCGGGCGCAACATTTATGTTTATTCGCGGTGTCGAGGTTCTTGAAATTGTGTTTTGGCACGATTCGGGAACGTCAGGACACAGCAGTCAGGTTGATTCGTGGCGTTGAAATCCCGAGAACAATGTTTCGGCATGCGTCAGGATCTTCAAACGATTGTCTTCCAACGAGGCAATTCCCTCAATGGAAATGAACCGTGGTAGGGGCCTAGGAAGAGGGAGCTTGGAGGGAGGGTTGATTCCAACATCGTTGCTGATTCTTGGGTTTACATTGGTCCTTTTCCTCCTCCTCCTCCTCCTCCTCCTCCTCCTCCTCCTCCTCCTCCTCCTCCTCCTCTCCTCCTCCTCTCCTCCTCCTCCTCCCCTCCCCTCCTCCTAACCCAATCTTTGGATATGCATGTTTGTTAGTGGCACTGCAGGAGAGGGCCGTTCGTACCCTTCCTGGTTCAAGCTCATCGTGCAACCGAGCCCCACTGTCTCGGCCGCGATAGCTTGGCTGGCTGCTTGGGCGGTCCATTCTGGCGTGAACTGCGCCTGGCGAGTGGAGGTCTCGCCGTGTCCACGCTGTCCTGACCTCCGCTGCGCGGAGGCGCCTACGTGCCCCTCCGTCCAGTGCCCCGCGGGTCCCACGGATTGTGTTCTGCCGAGGTGCCCGGCACCGTCGGAGACCCCCGCTTGAGGGCGCGGGCAGCCGCCTGCGGAGGAGGCGTCGCCAGCGCCCGCGGAGGCGCCCGCCTCCGCCTCGGCGCCGCCGAGCGTCCACGGCAGCTGGAGCACCCTGGGCTGGGCGGCGAGGCTGTCGCTGGACCTGCTCGGCGGGAGCGTGGGGACCTTCGTGCACGCGGTGCTGGCGGTGGTCGTGTTCTCTGCGCGCGCCTGCTGGCGCATTGTATTGACCCTAGCTTGTCGCCCCCGCCTCGCATTACGGGATGGCTCAGGCGCAGGTGCAGGAGTGGGCGTGGGTCGAGTTCGCAGGAACCGTTCCCTTCCATCAGCGACTGGTGTTAGGAGTCTTGGCGGGTACTCCAGCGGCAACGTTTGAGGTGGCGACGGCCACCCCCGATGGCGACGTGCACTGCGAGCTGCACGGAGGGACGGACCCCAATGTGGCGGCGGTGCGCTGGAGTGACTCACGCCGACAGCCCCCGCCAGGGGTGCCGAGAGACTCGTATCGGTTCCGCCGCGAACCGACGCCGGCGAAACATCAGGAGTTCCAGCGGCTGGGACGGCTCGGGATGAGTTCGTATTGCGGGATCGCCGCAACGGAGGACCTGGAGTGGAGCCCGCTGGGGGTGCGCTGCTGCCGCTGGTGGCCGACCCTGGGAGAAGCCCCCTGGCCGCCGCTCGCTTCCTTGGACAGGGCGACGGAGACCCCCGCCCCGTGGGTGGGGGGGGGGGGCGATCCCTTCGGAGCGCCCGCTCGCGCGGGAGCGCCTGCGGCCGGGCGGAGCCGCCGTGGCGCTCGCGGGCGGAGCTGGCCCCCGGGCCCCCGCGCCCCCGCGCGCTGAAGAGCTAGCGCGGGTCGCCACGGAGACGCGGCACGGGGTCGAGCGCGGGATGGCGGTCTTCGCAGGCCCTGGGATGCCGAGCCTCGGCGACGCGGGGGGGCTCTACCAGGTGGCAGGTGCGCCCCCGGGCCCACGTGGGCTGGCGGCCGTGCGGGATGCTGCTCCGCGATCGGGGCGCTTTCATGCGCAGCGAGAGCGTGGCTGACGCCGGGATCATGCCGCCAAGATCATGCCGATTGAGGTCGCGGGCGACCGTCGTCGGAAGAACCCTTGGAGGCAAGTCGTCCGGCAGGGCGTCGTCGCTCCCTGCTCGGACTGGCCCATCCAGGGCTCCAGGATTGCGGAGTGGGTCATGAGGTTCATCGATCGTGGCGGGGGCGGGCCAGGAGAGCATCACGCTGGGCGGCGACAGGTCAATCGGCTCCAGCGCGGCGACTGGGGCGCCGAGGTCCCCGAGAACAGTCTGCGGGCATTCGAGATAGCCGCGAGCTCCGTCGCCCTCGCTCGAGATCGCCAACTACCCCTGCCATGAGATCATCGCGAGGGAGTGCCAGCTCTTCGAGTACTCCTGCTCTCGCGAACCGCTCGGCTCAGGGCAAGGTGGCAACTTGGAGCAGGACTGCAACAATAATAATCATGGTCAAGGTCGTGGACGAGCTGGCCCCCTCGAGGAGAGCGACGCCGCGAGACAGGGAGGGCGGTGATGTCGCCCGACCTGCTCGACTCGTGGCGCGAGGGAGGTCGAGAGGGGCGTTGGCGCGCTGAAGCAAGTGCGGAAGGCGCGGGGGGCACGTCGCGCCCCTGGCAGCGGTGCTTGACGGACGCTCGCCCGGTCTTGAGCCCGGGCCTGGCGGAAACCACAGGGCCGAATTCGCTCGCGGCAGCGGCGGCGCTCGCCTTCGACAGCGATGCTTTTTTTCCCTTGCATCTCCCGGGCGAAGTCGGCTCTCGCGCTCGCCCCCCCCCCCCCCCATGCGCGTCGCGTGACGCGGCGCCGGGTGCAGTTGGCGAGCTGATGGGCGCCCTGAACGACAGGCGCAGGGCGCCCGGCAGCGGTTCTCCCCGCTCGCCTTCGAGGCCGACGCTGGCGCGCACATTCGTCTTGGATCGCCGACGGCGCGCGGTCGACATGGGGCCGCCGCCCGATGACCTCGACGGACCTCGGGCCTTCGACGAGCTCTGGCCCAAGCTGGCCCACGACGTTTCCACGTCTCGGCTGGCCCCTATTCGCGTGGACCCTCTGGACCTACCCCCCCTGGCTTCCGCCACATAATTCTGGGGGCCCGCCAGTCTTGCAGGCGAGTTGATCGAGAAGTGCGCGTTTGTTCTTCCCCTCTCCGACGCAGCGCTCGCCGCCCGGGCCGACCCCATGTCGATGCCGAGCCAGCTCAGGAACCTCGCCGGGTTCGACAGCATCCGCGCGTGGGAGCTCGGCGTCACCGGGGTGGAGGGCCAGCCCGTGCGGCCTGGTGAGCGCATCCACCCCGTCGTCGTGGTCATGCCGACGGGGTGGGTGCTGGCGCTGCAGGCCTGTCAGGCTTTTCGCGAGGAGCTCGCCCGTCGCGAGCCCGACGTCGCGGACTCCGGCGCGCCAGTGGAGGGGCGACCCCCTCCAGGACCTGGCTCCGATTGCGCGCGCAGAGCACGTCGACAACTTCGCGAGCTTCGGGCGGGGCCCCGCCGACGTGTCAGACGTGGTCAACCGTCTGCCGGCGCGCGACGCTGATGTGACCGTCTGCAGTGGCGCGTTGGTCAGGCACTTTTCTGATGGCGAGCGCTGCCCCACGTCGCCGCGCAGCGCGTGGCGGCCTGGCGCGGCGCCCCTGCGCGTCGAGATGGTGGGGGGGCGAGCAGGCGCGAGATTACGGCGCCCCTCGGCAACTTCACCGCTCGCGGCCTGTTCCGCCGCGAGGTTCTGGCGGATCCGCGGGCCTGCTTCGCCTTCGCTCGGCAGTTCCAACGAAGCCTCGGGTCTCCGCGGCCGTCAGTGCGTCGCGAACTTCGCTGGATGGCCTCCCTCGTGTTCGTCTCCGCCCGTGAGCTCGATGCCCAGCGGGGCCCGAAGGTCGACGCGTTCGACGCCTCGCCAAGGGGTCGTGGGGATCATGAGCAAAACGATCGACGCCAACGACATGAAAGTATTGGGGCCCTAAAACGATCGAGTTCACGGTCCCTGGGGTGACCTTTATTGGGGTTATGGAGTTGAAGGCGTGGATGGGCCCCCCCCCCCCCGTCCTGTGCGTGTCTGGGGCGGCATGCAGTGCCGAGTGGCCTCCTTTCCATGGGTTCCTGGAGATCGCCGAGTTCACCTCGAGTCCCGTCCGGCGACCTGGGCGTTGAACCGCCTGGCCATGACCTCCTCATCACATTCCAAACGAATTTGATCCTAGGAGACGCCATGGCCAGAATCCTGTCTCGGACCCAGGGCCGATGGGGGTTCGTTTGGCCTCGGTCGCGCCCTGCGACGCCCGGCCGCTCTCGTGCTGGCCGCCACCCCGCACCCCGCATGGCGCTGGATGCCATCTGGGAGGGGCGCGGCCGACGCGGCCTCGCGAGGCCGCCGCTGCCTGCGCGCGCCCGCCTGGCAGGTGCCAGACGCTGCGGGCCTGGGGGGGGGGGGGGGGCTGGCGCGGGCGGCGGGGGCGCGCCGCGCGGCGGACGCTTCCCGTTCGGCGAGCGGCCCGCCGACCGGGCAGAGAGCCTCCTCTGGGGGCGCGTCGACGTTGAGCTTCTGGGCGAGCTTGCCGAGGTCCGGCAGATCCACGGGCGCTTTCCCCGGCAGCGGACGACGGCGGCCTCGGCCCCCGCGCCGGCGGCGGCTCGTGCGCGAGGTCGGGCAGAGCCGCCAGGCCCGCGCAGCAGCGCGCAGGACGGCTCATCCGCCGGCGCGCGCGCAGCGCAGGGCGAGGCAGCCAGAGAGGAGCGCGCCCGATCGCCGCTGATCTAGGATGACGATTAGTAAATGACCGGGGGTCGCGTTTTGTCGTCGGCGGAGAGTGGGGCGATAAGGAAAAACCGGCCGCGGCCTGGGAAAGCATTCGTTCTGATCGCCCCCCCCCCGCCGTCCTCGGGCGAGTGCTCGCGTTTTTTTGTTCTACATCGGCGTTGCAAAAGTTTCGTCATAAAGTAAAAGTCGATTATCTTGCATAAGCAAAGACAAATCCCGCCCCGGTGGGATTTCTAGAGCCGTGTGAATTTACGTCGGGATTTCAAAATGTCCCGTTTTAAATCTATACTATTATAGTAAGGGATGAAATCCCACTTTTAGAAATCCCGGATCTTTGATCCGACCGCTCTTGACTCAGTCCGCTAGGATTCTAGGGGGGAAGGGGGGGCCAGCTCGGCGCGGCCAGGGCAGTGGTCAGCCTCTGCCCGCTTGCTCACGCGGAAGGAAGACACGAAACCCATGCCACCTTCAAGCTCTCATGAAACGTGACGAACTTTTGTAACGGCGTAGCGGTATTTCAGACACCGCGCGGCGAGCGTCGATCCCCTGGAAATCTGGCGTGGCAGGCGTAGCCTTCCTTATCCGGCGCGGCAGGCGGTGGCAGTATCGGGTCTAGCGCAATGGCGATCATGGCGGATGATGCGCAGGGTTGCGCGCGATGAAATCGATGGGGTGAATGATGATGCGTCGCCATCGTGGATCCCTAGCGGTATTTCAGACACCGCGCGGCGAGCGTCGATCCCCGTGAAATCTGGCGTGGCAGGCGTAGCCTTCCTTATCCGGCGCGGCAGGCGGTGGCAGTAGCGGGTCTAACGCAATGGCGATCATGGCGGATGATGCGCAGGGTTGCGCGCGATGAAATCGATGGGGTGAATGATGATGCGTCGCCATCGTGGATCCCTAGCGGTATTTCAGACACCGCGCGGCGAGCGTCGATCCCCTGGAAATCTGGCGTGGCAGGCGTAGCCTTCCTTATCCGGCGCGGCAGGCGGTGGCAGTAGCGGGTCTAACGCAATGGCGATCATGGCGGATGATGCGCAGGGTTGCGCGCGATGAAATCGATGGGGTGAATGATGATGCGTCGCCATCGTGGATCCCTCAGCGGTATTCAGACACCGCGCGGCGAGCGTCGATCCCCGTGAAATCTGGCGTGGCAGGCGTGGCTTTCCTTATCCGGCGCGGCAGGCGGTGGCAGTAGCGGGTCTAACGCAATGGCGATCATGGCGGATGATGCGCAGGGTTGCGCGCGATGAAATCGATGGGGTGAATGATGATGCGTCGCCATCGTGGATCCCTCAGCGGTATTTCAGACACCGCGCGGCGAGCGTCGATCCCCTGGAAATCTGGCGTGGCAGGCGTAGCCTTCCTTATCCGGCGCGGCAGGCGGTGGCAGTAGTAGCGGGTCTAACGCAATGGCGATCATGGCGGATGATGCGCAGGGTTGCGCGCGATGAAATCGATGGGGTGAATGATGATGCGTCGCCATCGTGGATCCCTCATCGGCGTTACAAAAGTTTCGTCATAAAGTAAAAGTCGATCATCTTGCATAAGCAAAGACAAATCCCGCCCCGGTGGGATTTCTAGAACCGTGTGAATTTACGTCGGGATTTCAAAATGTCCCGTTTTAAATCTATACTATTATAGTAAGGGATGAAATCCCACTTTGAGAAATCCCGGATCTTTGATCCGACCGCTCTTGACTCAGTCCGCTAGGATTCTAGGGGGGAAGGGGGGGCCAGCTCGGCGCGGCCAGGGCAGTGGTCAGCCTCTGCCCGCTTGCTCACGCGGAAGGAAGACACGAAACCCATGCCACCTTCAAGCTCTCATGAAACGTGAC